CTCTAAATGCATAACTCCTCTAAATGCATAAATTTCTGCGGTCCCGACAGTATGCATTTAGAGGAGTCTCACTGTATCATCATTATAGAAGCAATATTTGCATGCTCTAATGAGAGTAATGATACTCACAGTTGATAGGCAAAGTTCTAGGTGAACCGTTTCCTATCTACATTTTTTGTCAACAAATATTTTTTTCTACTGTGCCTCACGCGCCCCCCCGCCACTAGCACAAATTCCGGACGTCTTTCGTTTAAATAAGAACTAAATTACACTATTTTGAGCTTGTAGTCAAAGTCATTCGTATTATTTCAGTCACTGGTGAATGTTGTTATTAGTTGTCTTAATATTAGAGATTGTTTCATCTTGGTAAATGAATCAGATCATTAATCAGTGTTAGAGTTTGTTCGCTGAAAGTATCTGCTAGTAGTAATATTTCATTAGAATTACTTTAACAGCTGATATCAGTTCTGATGTTTCTATCGTTGTAAGTGAATCAGGCCATTCCTTGGTATGACATTAAACAATGTTTGCATTGTCAGTTAGCAGTCGTATGATGCTTATTAATATTGCTATCGTTGTAAGCGAATCAGACTATGACATTGGACAATGTTTGCATTGTCTGTTAGCAGTCGTATGATGTTTAATATCGTAAGTGAATCAGGCCACAAAATTAAACTTTACATTGTCTGTTAACAGTCGTATAATACTTATTGATATTCCTACCATTGCAAATGAATCAGGCCACACTTTGGTATGTCATTGAGCAGTGTTCGGCATTGCTGCATTGTCTGATAGCAGTCGTATGACGCTTATTGTTATTTCTACCATTGTAGTGAATCAGGCCATTTCTTGGTATGACATTGAACATGTTCGCTGAAAGGAATCATACGACATTGTCTGTCATTTAACAGGTGGTGTAAGTTCCATCATTGTGAAATACAACAACAACGAACACAATATCATACATGTACCTTACCTGCATATGCGGTTTACAGTCACTCCCGATGAATGCCGAACAATGTTTCAGGAATCCCCTATAGTTGAAGCAGTATTTCATACGGCAATGGTGGGGTTATGTATTTTTATGGGGAAATATTAATAGGCGGATTGCTGAACGTACTCGAAGAACAACGGCAACTGTTGAAGAAAAGACATTCGACATTACCTAAAGAAATTTGGATATCGATGAATATCTCCTCCAGCGTTCGTCCATAATAAGTGCGAATCAGCTAATTTTGGCTAAAAAACTGTTATTCTACAATGGAATTAAAGCAGAGTAAGGATGATTCCAAGTCAGAGTCTTCAAGAAAGTTTATAACTCCTGTAAAACAACTCAGATACGATGATTAGAGAATTTCAGACGGAATATGCCAAGCCGTAGTATCTAGAATGTAGTAAAAGTTACTATCCGAGAGATCCAACGACACTCCAAGCTATTAAAAGTTGGATGGTGAAGAAACAAGGAAGCAAAATGTATAAATTTAAGATTGTAGGCACAATGACGATTCGTAGTATAATATTGAATATGACATCAGTAAATGATATACGTGCGTATACATAACTTTATTTATGCCATTAATAGCTTGTCCTCTCCAATTGTTAATTATCAATAGATCGATACTACAATATAAATACCGTCGCCGCTACTCTTATCAAGATATTTTTCACTAACTAATGCACATATTACTTAATGTTTCGAAGAATGCTTGTGGTGAAAGTTCTTCCTAGCTTGTACAAACCAACTATCACATGGCTTGAATGTCTACTTTGTAGCTTTAATTATAATGATAATGTCAGCAATACTCTTCTTATTATTGAATCCGGAATTTGTGCTGGTTATATCGATGAAGATCAAAGTGTCGGAAAAAAGTGTTGACTATATAAATTACCTTATTGTGGACAATGATCTGTTTTAAATAATTACGTCACGGGCCGATCATCAAAACAAATAGCGATTCAATAATCCTGCTAAGCACGAAAGAAGCGTCGGCAGCAGGGTCGAGACCTGTCGTAAGCCAATTATGGTGAGTCTTGTATGAAAAGCAGTCTCAATGTACTTATGTTCTTTTTCATATTTATTTAATGAGAAGCGAAAGCAAAAATAAAACTTTCGCAAAACCCGCCAAAATCATGACGTAGACTAGATCTTGACTCTGCAAACCTAACCCCTCTGGCATTTTTTCGCGTTTACACATCCGACCCATAGAAGACGCGCGATAAGCCATTATAAGAACAATATCCAAAGACACTACAAAGTTCACAAAGGTGAATAATAACGTATGTAATTAATCCTAACAAGAGAAATGATTCCAGATCATAATCGAGCTTTCCCTTCCTGGTGGGGAGCATTTAAAAATAAATGGAAAATGGTATTATTGGCTCTAACAGATGTCAGTAATTGGATTTGCTCATGTCCCGCATTTGTCAACATTTTCTTAATATGTACAAATATCGTAAAAGCATGCAGAGATAGGAATCCATCATTCTTTCCTCAGTATGCAACAACAAGGCGCAGTTAACGAGCTGGACGTGGTATAGCGAGTGTCTGCGAAGGATGGTAATAACATGGAACCCACCACGCAATTCAAGACCCGCTTTTTACTTAAATTAGACGGGCACAACGTTGTACTGTGACTGAAGGCAAACGACCCAAAGTCATTAGAATGACAATTGTTAACATACTATTATATACAGTGTGTTACAAAAAAAGTGAAAATTTTCTTTTCTAATATAAAAAGTATGACAGAATTAGATAAAAGTTTACAAATATGTATTTTTATACAAGAAACAAATTTACTTACGGCAATTTAACGAGTTATCTTATTACAGTTGTATAATTTCAAAATTTCAAAACTCAAAAATTTTTGTTATTACTTGTAAAAATCTTATTATTTTTACACAAAGATTTTCAAATATGTTCTTCATGTTGTTGCAAACGAGTTTACTTAAAGTTACTTAATTAAATATCTTAATAAAAGTTTTATAAAAAATGCTTTTGTTATTTTTTAACTTGTAATTACTTTTTCGATATTTTTTTTCCAAGATTAATTTATAAATTAAAAAAAATTTTAATAAAATAATCTATTAACTGTCCTTAAATAAATTTGTTCTCTATATTATACAAAATATAATTATAAATTTTGGACAATTAGCTTTTTTCATCACACAATAGACTAGAATATAATTCCACTTTTTTTTGTAACACACTGTATCTACAATATAAAAACTTACACTACACAAACTTCAAAATAAGCGCAAGTTCTTCCGACCCTCTCCCTTCTTCGGCATCAAATGTAGCTTTTCGGCTGAAGACCCGACGTTGAAGGTATGCTCTACGTTGTATCAGAAAGCCTTTCGATGGACATATTATTTACCGTTTAAATCTTGTTCAGTTACCACCATTCCAGAAAAGTATGTTCTCGCTGATATTGATGAGAAAATGCTTGCAAACCCAAGGTTCAACGTTGAAGAGATTGAGGGACTTACGAATGCGGAAGTTAAAACTTTATGTACCTCGTCTTTATGAATGGACTCGAGCCAGTAGGAACAAGCGAAACCTACACTTGACTCATTAGTAGACGATTTGCTTCATCTTGAATGTCTGGCCTTTAATGATACAGTGAGTATTCGTAAGGAGTTTATTATGGCGGTCCTAAAGTTCGCATTCTGTCAATCCAGAATCCACCTACCGTGCAAACTATATATAATGATGAAACTTATGCGTCATCACACCCCGAATTTGTCGTGAAGAAGCAGAACCTGTGCTTATTGTTGTAGGAGTATCTTTATCAAATTCTGTTTTCGTCGACAACTTTTTTTCCGATTAAGACAAACACTTGAAATGTCAGAAATCGCGGGCAAAGCACCAGATTTGGGGAGACGCAGATTGCGAAAGAGACTCTATTCGCGTAATTTCTACATATGTTACATTATAAGGCCGAGATTACTGCAACATATTGGGCAGAACCTGACCACAAGAGCAGTCAATTGAGATTCAAAGATGTCCGCTTTAATAATCTTGCTAAACCGAACGGTATTAACAGCACTAACCAAATTTGTGAAGCACTTCTACGGAAAAATGCATAAGAAGGTATGAATTAGTCATGCAGAAAAAACTGATTTATCCGGACAATTTGTTGCGACAAATTTATTTATTTTCACTTTCGTTAAAAAAGAACAAGTCTTATGCAACTATATATAATTCAATTTTCCATTGAACTCTCACTAACTACAGAAGTCAAATAACATTTATGTGGAAGTAGTCTATATTCGTGTCTCACAGGAATATTCTGTCTAGTTAGAATTAATTTTTAAGTTACAGTTTCTCCCAGGTTTAATATAAGAAACAACCCAGGACAAAGATAATTACTTACATCTAAATTTGCATCGATGATTTCAGCCATCAAAAAATCGTTATCACAACATAAACTTTCTGGGGGACTCGTCCAAAAGTTAATGATTATATATCGATACTTAAGCTTCCAGCAAAAAGACTTTGAACGTGTATTTTATGATTATGATACTCTAGTGCATCATAGACATATCATTTTTGTATTTTAGTAACTATCGCGCGCAATTGGAAAATTCCGAAACACATGATCGGCGATCATCAGTGAGGCGCAGTCATGGAGACACATAATTGCCCATCTTGGTATGCGCAACGTTTCTTTCCCTAGCAAATCACCCAAGTAACTATGCTTCGTCGAAATCCCACGCGCATTCATTTACGACCAGAGGACGTCGAATCCGTCGAGAAACTGCGTGAACTTTATCAACAGAAGAAAACGCTTGCTAAGGGTAAACGCAAGGGCACTGAAATAGATAGAGAGATAATGTCGTTATCCAATCAAGATTCCTCGGTCAATGAGCAGTCGCTTTCGAACAATGACTTTACAAAGAGCAGCATGCCGTTTGATGTTCGAAGGCTTAATAAATGATAAAAGGTGGTTTTTTTTTGGCATTGAATTTCGAACTACCGTAGTTAATATGGTAGGTTGAGAGATGAATTTTAGTAGGATGATTAATAAAAGATGTGGGGTTGCTTTTGATAGGGAAGATATATATTTAACCGTGTCATGATTATGAAGGAATACTGGATTGATTTATTATTGTTATTGTTGCTATTACTATCTTTTACATGAACGTTTGGCCAGCCTTTGATCATTGTACAATACTGATCATTCGAGTACTCTTTTATTAGGTCAGAAGGCGAAAGCAGAAAACAGGCAGTCGGTACAAGTGATCTGTAGTTTAACGGCCTGTATAGAAGAAAGCGTGACTAGAAGCCTCTACTCTAAGTTCAATCCATCATCCATCATTGCATGTCAAGTATAATTATCAACCCCATTATTAAGCAACCTCGGCCATATATTCTCATCTGAAACATCGACAATTGCTTTAATTCAAATATCTCCCCAAACTTTCGGACTTTTAGATGTCATCAACGATGTGAAATTCGATTCTACAGATAGGCTGACAAAACGATAAACAAAAACTTGGGAATAAATATTTAATCTACATACAGTAGTCTGTTTAGAAATCTACTATTTACAATAAGCGCCCGTGACAACTACATCGTGTTCTTCCCTATACCGTTTCTAGGCAATGGATTTGGCACGACACCTCACCATATTTTATGGACTTAGTCCATTTACATTCTTCTTTTATCATGTACAAGAAGTTAAATTGGATACCCGTAGTATGTAATAGTGTTCCAAGACTACTGAAACTTGCTGGGTTTGGATGGAATACACAAATACTAAACTGATCGGTGAATGTGAAAAGTACATGATGGCCACTCGTGCCCAGAGGGCAAAGTGGATAAATGACGACACTTCAGGTGAATTTTCTCTCAAGGTTTGTTGGGCCGCTGTTACGTTTTTCAGGCATGACGATTGCAAATTTACATGCGCCTTGATAAGGGCTATTACAATGGGAAAACTCCAGGAGGCTAATCCAGAGTATGATGTTATGTCCAAATATGTTGACACAAGTCAGAGCTCCAAACATTTCCGATAAACACATAATAATAAGCAAGAAATTAATTATCCGGCCCCAACCATCCGCGTTTACTTATCATAATTGCCATATTTTATTCTTGCAACAGCCCGATTGACATTTCCTTTCACATAAAGTAGATACTTGAATAAGCCCAATCCTACCTAGGTCACAGATCTTTAAAGATAATTTCTTTCCCATTAATAGTTTGTCTACGTCTTGTATTAAAGTTTGTAAAGAATTTATTCATAATCGCATGGTAGTTGACCGGGATACCAGTCTCAAGACACTGAGCAGATAGGTAAGCATTAAAACAATTGTGTATTTACGAACCAAGTATCGTTTGTATTATATCCTATTAAAGCTTCAAATAGAAATAACTCGAACTGCGCCTCTAAACTGGTGAAATGAATTATCGGAAAGTAGCCAAAACGATGACCCTCAGGGCTAATTAAAATACTGTAAGTTAATATTAAGTGTTTGCGAGATTTGATTTGAATGTTAACCTGTTTTTCGTACCAATGTCCGGAGCGTAGCAAGGTGTTTTGCTATATGCGGTCTAATCCCTGACTCCTGTAATACTTTCCCATTCATCAACTCTACGTCACTCATACGTTTACCCCTGATTTTCCCCTTCTGTCACATTTTTAACAGTGAACCATACTGATGATGAGCGACGGGGTTTCCGTTTTCCTAGTAATAGTTGCCAATACAGTGGCACAATATTAGAAGTGTTTGTTAAAAAATTTAATACCTTGTCGGGTTGTCATGAAATAATAAATATTAAGTGTAAAAGGTTTTCTATGAAGAGATAAAGAGTAAACATAATATACTACGTACGGTGATAAGATAACATCCAAGAATATTTACATACGCGTCCAACTCACAAGTTCGCGTGCAATATTTCAGGTGCTCTTACAAAAATATAAATGGGACATGCTGTAACAAAACCAGACAAAGCAAACATTACTACATGAACATGAAGTGGCTTGTTATGTTCGGTCACATAGGGAGCGTTTGTTCAAATCGACCGGGGGATATTCTCAAAATTTGGCTCTAAGCTTACACGCTCGCGACAATTAAAGCGTAGCTAAAATTTGCAGGCGACTCCCATTGCTAAAGTATAAACTTTCACTCAAATGTTGTGCTGGCTATTTAATTAAATAAAAATATATGTATGCATATATATACTATATATATATTGCACCGATAATCGAACTATTCTACTTCTGTCTGATATGACACTCCAGCGTCCACTTAACTACAGTTAGATATTAATCCAACTTCCGTAAGCTGGCCTAATACTAACGGCAACAGACACTTCCGTACAAACAAGAATAAACTATTATAGAAAAACAACTAATCATAATCCTTAGTCGAAAAGTGTATTAATTATAAGAGGCAATGAAATATTCGACGCGTCTAATTAAGGAATTCCTTATACTAGTTCTCAGCCGCTCCTCTAATCATTAATTGTAGACAATAAATTTTACTACCGAGCGTAGTATTTTATTTAATATGAATATCATGAATTATTATTTGCTCAACAAACTACAACAATATTTAAACATTAAACACACTCTGACTATGGCATTTTTTGAGCGTTTTTATAAGCAGGCGGTGCGCATTTTTTAGACCTTGTCACAAATTAATTTTGTTGTCACTTTTTGTGATAGTAATAGAGCACAGTTAAATGTCTGTTACACCAAAATTTCGGATGCAGCATATTTTTAAATTGCGAAATCGAAGACTTCGGCTTTAGCCATTAAAAATATATCTTGCTCGGATCCAGAGAGAGCTCGAAACACTTCACGTAATTCGGTAAAATTTTCTCGGAATCTTTTTTGAACAACCACAATTGCAACCTATCTCCAAGAAGCGCATGGCCCTTTCATATTCGGTCGAACCATTGTATTTACAATTTTTTCATATACGCGTAATCCTATATATGTAATTTATATTACTTGACATGCTTGAATTGCAAATTTTATGGCTATTTTATCAATATAGTAAGAGCTATTTACTATCAAAACTTTTGTCTGCCAGGTTTATTATGCCTTGCCTAAACACATCAATACATGACAAGCACAAGTTCATCATGGATAGTAATAGAGAAGGAGTTGTTAGAAAAAGTGAAATTTGCAACAGAGTCAAACGATTAATAGTTAAGTTTTCCCTCTCCATTCAACAATTTAGCAGATAAATTATATATTTTTTATACCTGAATGCCAAATTTTATAATCAGTATATATTAATATACAATAACAAACATTTTTAAGTTTTCTCAACTGCAAAAAAGCATTTGACATTTGCCTATGTTGTTCAATACTAATTGTTGGTCTGTGTTTCCATATGCTATCCAATGGATTAATGTATTAATATGCACAGAGTAAAGCATATAATTGGTTTTAAGATCTTCAGTAAGAAATCCAAATGAATTTAATGTTGGTGGCAACTCCCCAGTGTTGCTCAAAGTCTTCTCAGGACTTAAATTGCAACCCTGAATTACTCTCAGTTGTGCCTAATGACCAATAAAAGCAAAAACAAGATTAGCTGGCTCAGACCCCCCCAAAGACTGAAGATGGTGACAATCTTGTAGTGGCTGCTTCAGTATATGCCTGTCCAGTAGTTGAATAGTTCTTACTTGTATCGAGATAAATGAATACTTTTCCTCTGATGCATTGCTCATCTTGACTGGTAACAGAAGATCACTGCCTATTAATATTAATAATGGTGATTTCTGACATGTTTACTATGATTCTGAGACCTGTGTTAACATCATCATGACCACCATGCTCAAAATCAATGAGCACATATTGCTTGAGGGTGAAGTCATAAATGATATTGGGTAATCAAACATCACAATTAAGATATCCCCCTGATACTGAGTGAGGCCTGTAACAATGTCTAGTGCCAAATTTTGCACCTTCTCTTCTGACTGTATAGATAACAAGTCAACTGGAATACTAAATACACCTAGTTGCTAGCTTGATCTGCAAATTGTTATCTGAAACTAGATCACATGTGTTATATTCATGACGTAAGTACAGTTACATTGCAAAGCAGTTCACGTTAAGCCTGCGCAGCACATATTGTAAAAAAACTAAGCAATTTTGTTAGTGAATATGTCAGAACGACGAGTTAAATGAATTGAACGCGGAGTCATCATTGGATGTCATATAAATTATTTGTTGGTTGTGCTTTGCAAGACTCCCAGACGACACAGAAATGCTTTTATTAAGTCCCTCTTTGAACTAAGCTGATAGTTTTCTGAAATTATTGTTATAGCAAAGACAGACTTAAGTGGCAGAGAGAAATGGTAGTAAGGAATTGTATTGGTTGATTCAGTATCTTTTGACACACATATCTTACTCTTTTAGGAATTCTGACATTCTATTTATTTTTAGAGGGATTAAAAATTGCAGAAAGTAAACAAAGCTGTAGCAAACTGTAGGTGCACAAATTTTTATACCAAGTAGGAATAGTTTAAAGTGCCTGATCGAAGGACTGCATCCATAGCGTAAGAGATATTGTAGACGAAGCGATTATCTGACAAAGCGTAGTGACATCAAAAGTGCGGCTGAAAATGTAGCCCGACGATCAATTATTATAAACTTTGATCGACAATTCCTAAAAAGGTCCATGACAATTGTCGTTATATCAATGCATTCGACAGAAAAAAGAACTGTAGCGTCGCTTATCAAGGATTTTGGGGTATCTTGTAAGCTGAGTATGAGTGAGCTTTGGGCCATCCTTGACATGGACAAGCCCATGTTTTCTCTTGATAAGTTGTTGCATGCACACATTTCTCCTGGACATTTTGGGCATATTAATATTGGTATATTGCAGAGAGAAAATCAATGTGACTTTCAATTGCTTTCAGGTCTTCTCCATTAATGAATGGAAGATCACATATCAAAACCAACCTTCTTGACATAGTAATAGTTTGCCTCATATTAATATGAGATAGTTGACCTATTACTATGGTTTTCTGCTAGACCTTTCACAATGTACATCTGTGACCAATGATAATCAATGTGCAGAGATATCGTCAACTTCCACCTGTTTGGAGTGTTAATTCTCGGCTTATTGCAATGGTCGGCTTAATAATACGGGAGCCTTAATTCAAACGATAAACAAAATTTACTCAAACGTTGTGGAACGATTTTTGAGACGACTATACAACGAAAGAACCGAATCGGATCCAAAATTTTTATTTAACAAAATGGCGCTTGAAATCATAAGTTGCTCAGGCAAACAAAAGACCATTGTTACATCTATAATAATAAATTTTTACTTTCGAAGAACAACCTCACGGAAAAAGACGTTGGATTGACGGAGAGAAGATGTAAACTACTCAGATGGGGAAATGAAAATGAAATAATTGATTATAGTGATAATATTATTAATAATAGTAATACTCATAAATGGCTTTGGGACCGAGTATTTCCTCCCATATAATCTCTCTGGTGCTCTATTGTCATTTATATTTCAAAAGCGATCAACCGCATTTTATAATAATAATAAAGATATTAAAATTGTGCTTACAAAAATTGAATTTTGTTGTATAATTTTGACGCTCTTGGTTGCAATTTGTATCAAAATAATGAAATGTGAATCAAGGCTCAACGAATGCGCTCAAGCAGTCCTTTCTCAACAAGTATAAACTATATGGAATAATCTATGCTAAATTTACTTTTCTTACTTTTCTTCTATTTTTCGTTTCTTTCTTGGTTCATCATAAGTTGGCATTAATGTTCGTTTATTGTTTTTTGAGGAGTATCTAGATAAAGAAAAAATTACTTATGAAATTTATCAAAAAAAAAAACAAAAAAACAAAAAAAGGGGAAATAAGGATTTTGGTATCATTGATTTTAAAAACCTAAGGAGCAATTTTTTCTCCTTGATATTGAGGGGGGTTTTTTTTATTGTGCTGTAATTCTTTGGTTCCATGGTGGATTTAATGTAAATTAATGTCATATTTAATATTATATTTTTATATAGACATAATCCTATATGGGACATGTTATAGTTTATAATGTCAAGTAAAAGTTTATTTCAATTGGACTGAGTGTCAGTCACATCTTTGGCATAATAATAATATAAAAATGCAATACAAAGTCATGGCCAAAATATCATTTGTCAAATTAGTTAACTTCAGTCACATCAGCCTCCCATTTATGTCACATCATAAGATGTTCACTTTGTCTGGTTTTGTTGCAGTCTGCTCCAAGTAAAAGTATGTACCAGGTTCAATCTAGTATTATAATTAGTCATTTTAGATGTTAGTCAATGCAAGTAAAAATTAGTCCATGAATAGTGTATAAAACCACTGCCTGTGTCACTAAAGCAAAGCCTTCCAAAATGTTATCAGTTACATTGGTATCTTTCCAGCTCACGCGATGAAATGTTGGTTTATTACTAAAAACTACGATGTTTTCCTTCGGCAAAAGTAATTATCACGGGTCCCATCGTAGTTATGCAGAAAAGGCACCGAATTCCATTATTAAAGTTCATATGTACTGCATTTATCCCACATTTTACAGTGAAAAGGATAATTTAAGAATCACAGCTAGAATAAGGGCAATCAATTACATACAAAACCCACGTAACGCTTGATATAATCGATAAGAATTTCCAACTTCGTATTTCTCGTGTAACCTTTGAATCCCTAAATATTTATATTCTCTTCAGGTTATTTATGAGAAAGAAGGTGGATCGTACATTTCAATATTCATTATGAAGATGATAGAATAAATAGAACTAGTGTGGTAGTTAGAACAGTGTGAATCGACGAGAATTACTAGATGGTCTCATCAGACATGCGAGATATTGACCTTCGGCTGGGGTGGAGAAGATCAAGCTGAGGTACACGGTGGAGAACGATGTTACAAGATAGCTACGGTGCTCAGACTTTCCAGAGATGGTAGATGATTATATGGAATTACAGCATCATATTTTTATTGACGCCAAACCAAATCTAATTTACAAAAAAAATTTTTAAATACAAGACTGGGTATTAGCCAGTTAATGTCATGGTACAAATAGAACTAGCTTAAAAAAATCTACAGTATTCACAACAACTTTGGAATGGCATATCAACCTCTACACAACATCATCGCGAAACCCCTTCTTCATTATGCATATTCCAACTGCCTACGCCATCCATTTCTATTGCCCACCCCCCCGGGCCGCCTACTCCACTCATAACACTTCCTATCATCGCCATCCACCCGTGCCATTGTCTGATCAATTTCTGCCGATAAATCTATCACATTCCTACAATGATTAAGTTGCAATGATTGCAAGTTCTCCAGCTTATAAATCCAGTAACCGTGATATACGGTAAGAAAGTCACAGGAGTGGAATTTTAGTTTCGATAACGTTCTTTTCTGATTTATCATTGCTTTTATTACATCCTCTAATCCGTTCGACACATTTCTCACTTCGAGTTCGCGCAGACCATTCTGAGACTTTACTAAATAGCTAACAAGCTCCGGAAGAGTAATAGGATCCGTTGCAGATAAATCTACATCAAGATTTATGCCAAAAAAGTCCAATCGCTTTTGCTTTACTGCCAGTAATGTCAATATCTCTTTGAATGTCTGTGAGAATCTATACGCCTTTGGTCCTGTTGAGAAGGACCGTAAAAATTTCGCCTTTCGTATGATAGACTTGATTATAACATTACTTATCAATACAGGCTCATCCTTCAATGATATCTTCCTATGACAGTTCATGTACCATGAAGATGTGGCAAAAAGGACGTAGCTGAATTCTAAACTGGTGCAATATTCAAAGTAGTTAAATTTTGGCGGCTTCCTGCGAGGAATGCGGATGCGTTGATTGACCAAACGCTGTCTTTCATCGCGGGTAATACAGGCCAGATAAGTCGATATGAGATGATAATGAGAATCTGGTCTTGCTATCTTCAGAGGGTTCCTGTATAGAATTGAAACGGTCATGTGTGCCCACGTCCAGTTCACCTGCATGCATCGCGAAAGAGCCTGAGTGTGGTCATTGAGATGTTCCAAGATTAGTGGAAACAAGTCGATCGGGAGAGATGGGCATACACCAACCGAAAGAGGCGATGTTGGCGTCAAAGGTAAAGATGTAGATGAAAATACAAACGAAGTTGGGGAGGAGGTAACGGAGGATGAAGCCGTAGGTAGCATAGAGGAAGTCATCATAGAACCCGTTTTCTTAAGACTTTCAGAAAGGTCGCTTCTGCTATAAACAAATCCCAGGAGTGTCGTGTATATTAGATTAGGTATGTCGCAAAGTTAAACGGTGGGGATTGAGGCTGTTTATTGCAGAACGCAACCGGTTATTTGTGTTTGTCGTGATATTAACTTATCACATGTATATAATAAGAATAATTACAAAGTCAGATAACAAAGGCGTGCGCGGAGAGATCAACAATAGAGAAGAGAGATTGGGGAATTGCAAACAGGGAACCTAGCTTTTATATCATGTGATATTCGAATTAGGTTCGTGAGAATGATGTCATTTTGGCTACGACTATTATCATGATATACAATATACAATCATAATAAAGGTATTGATAAATGGGCACGCTGAACATAATGCCCAACATTGAATGCCACTGTATTTCCTCTTGATTATTGTTTTAATTAATTAATTTATTTGTTTACAAAACATCGAATAATGCTTTATTATATTCAATGTTATAGTCTTGTGAAATTGAACGTTACGTTGAAACAAATTAGTAAAGAGAGTACTTCCACGTGATATTCTCTAAACTACACGCTTTCTGTGAATCTAGTTTGTTCTCTAAGTAATTAATAAATAATACATGTCTCCCCATCTCTCGCCCTATTTGATTCCAAGACTCATAATCAACTAATGCCGATGCCGAATAATTTGGATTTATGAGCCGACCTCCCTGATTTCTTAGGAGGCCACCAGAACCCCCCCGAAGTAGTGATGTTCCTGCACTCGGTCCATGATTCTTTGAATTTGGGACTATCGAACGTTTTATCATCATCATTGAACAAGTTTCTATCGAGTTTCTTCACGCTCAACGATCTGAGTTGAGGATGTCCCTTCTCTATCAACTCAAAGAACTCAGAGTCCATCAATCGCCCATCACTTATATCTAATACAAGCCACGATGGACAATCGGGTGGTCGTTTAGCAAGAGCTAACCACCCTTCCCGCGTAACATGTTCAATATCTTGGTCGAATGAAAGTTTAACTAGAGTAGGCATCGATGCCAGCATTAATAAATGTTTGTCGGTAACTTGTGGCACCTTTGCTATTCGTAGTTCAGATATGCGCGGATGGGAAATAATGTTGCTGATAGAATCATCAGTCAATTGCCTGAACTCGCCAAATTCAAGATACGTTAGATTGGGCAACTGATTGAGAAACTTGAAATCACAGCCATCGGCAATCGTGGATAACTCCAAATGACACAAACTCTCCATTCTACTGATTTGACTCAGATCTTTACCCTCGACTGGAGAGGAGATATGGACCTTCACAAGCGATGTGGAGTTGTGAAGTATTGTCACGCCATCACTTGTAATGTTGATATGCAGTGAGGTAAGCTTGGGACAGTTTGTTAGTAGATTTAATAGAGCCGCCATCGACACGCGTGCACAATTATGCGGTTCAAAAACAAAGGTACGCAGATTACTACAGTACTTAGCTATTGCCTCAACAATGATGGAAGAATTAAACACGCGGCCATTACTCTCCACTTCTTCATTCCTCAAGAATAGCTTAATATGCTCAAGAGACTCTCCACTATTCCTTGCAAACACGTCCCACAGCTCAGGCTTAGTGATCCTCGGGTGCGTCAAAGAAACGTCACGAATCCTCAACGATTTCACACATTCACAAAGCGCATCTGAATTGTTCGGTTTATTGTCTGATTCCTTTTCTTCATCAGTCTCCGTATCGTTATTCTCATACGCCATCATTTTCAACGTCGTCAATCGATCGCTCAGAAGATGTAACGGTAAATGTCGCGTTTTGTTGGCGTGTGGTTTTGATGAGAAGCGGAGGTCAAGAATGTTGAGGTTTGGACACTGATCTGCGATGAAATGGATCATTTCCACATCGAATAAGAGTGGTGGTTCTAATTCGAGTTCTGCTATTTGAAGTCTTTGTACGTATTCACCATAAGGATAGAGGATTTTGGACGACAAGATGGCTTGTTTGAATTTGTCAAAGTCAGAGCGGCGTTTGAAGTCGCGTTCTTTCCACAGTGCTGGCAAGGCAATTAGTGCCCACTCACGACAGGAGAGACTTAGGTGAAGGAGATCTTTGTTTTCAAATTTGGCCACTGCTATTATCGATAAGAGAACTTCTTGGGGCATTTCCGTCAGCAACATATTGGCGTATTAACAGTGTTGGCTGTATGCTGAAATGCTTGTTTGAACGATCTCGGTGAACGCTATACTTATGTTATTATTATATTATTGTATTTAAATATAAAAGATTATTACTTTGTTTAAATCATGTGATAATAATTCAGTGTCATTGTTAAACATAAAATAAGTCGTATAGCTATTTCTATAACTATGTGACTCAACACTTGGATGATGAATTGACGACAGTCAAAACACCCTTTCTATCCAGTACATCTCGGCTTTTGTTATTATTATAGTTAATTAGTTCCCTTGTTAGAGCTACTAATTGAAACGCCACTAAATTAATCCAGTAAGAGTTAGTTTAAATAATTGTTGTTTGATATCTTTTAGCTCCGCCTTAAGGTGAACGAGGTGCAAAGCCTTATAGATTTCTACAACCAGTGTCACTATATGAGTGGCAACATCCTTGACGGTATTCAAAGTAGTAAAATTCTTTCGCCCACTACGCGATTCTCAAAATGGATGTCTATGAGACACTATCTGAATCAATACTTTATCAGCAATTGTAACAGTCTAGGCTCTGAAATTTGAATTTAGCAAGCTATCGGCAACTGATCGGTGAGTCTGTCTCAATCCACTCGTGACTTTCCTGGTACGCTACCAGCGACTATTGTTGTAGACATGAATATTTTTACAGGCAAACTATCGAGTGCTTATGTGATTACTTCGAGAAAAAAAAGAAGATACAATAAATTTATTCTTACACGTTAAATATGGGTAATAAAGGTCAAATTTAAATACTCGTACTTCCCAGTGTACGATATGACAGTATGTCAATTATACGACTTCAAAAGTACATTCCAATCTGTTGTAAAGAGTAGAGTTTCAATATACCATGTCCAACAGTTGATCTCTTCACTTACTCAATCGTTATCGCAGTTCCCGATTTTCTAATATCGTAAAGCAAATCAAGTATTGCGGCTGATGACCATGCTTGCGTTGGACATGCATGGTGACATTGAGCACCGTTCTTATTAGTTAATTCAGGTAGTCCGCCCCACGGACTAGTTTCGATTGCTTTACGATGCGGAAGGAGATGGTGAACGATTGTGTAGATAGTTTCGTGGATCTGTAATTGATCATTTACGGCTTCGTCAGCGAACACGTTATAATTATTGGTTGCTATAATTCGTGTTACCATCGCTTACGTTATCCTTTCCGGCACCAACGCGAGTGTCGAAATATAAATAGGCTCGAAGGAAAACACCAGTACACCATAACCATTCCTACGCATAATGAATTGCATTGATTAGACGTATGAAACTTGCCAAGTCTATCCTGTGAAACAATTCCACTTACTGGTCCCTGGTGATAATTCCATCCTTTAGCAATAGACTTGTCGGTTCCGTCATTGTTATTGTCGTAGTCACCACGATAAGCCCAATCACTAGGATCTAGAGTACGCATTCCCAATGGGCCAGCAAGCACTTCTTTGGCAATACGCAGAGCCTCTATTGCATGCTGCTCATCAAACAGCTCAGGAGCCTAGTAATATTACTTAGTGTCAATGAAGACGAATTGTATTATATTCAACACTAAACCAGATTGTTCACATACTGTAACCATAGCGATAGGGAAGTTAGGTCGTAATTGATAATCAGCATATTCTTTGGACGATCTGTAAGTATCCTTATATATGCCACGGCGATTTACTAGCCTAGAGTTTATTACGTGTTGAGAATCGAATGCCGAATCTATGAACATAACCGGTTAGATCTTTAGTCCTTATATCAAGCAATCATCCGTCATAGCAATTTTACCTTTTGGGATATAGAAATACTTTTCAAAAGACTTCTGGATTAGATCTCCCCATTCTTTGAATCTTATAAATTTCTTCTTCCCCTTGACTATTATAGATAACAGTGAGATCAAAGCATATGGCAGAATCAGGTCTCTTAAAAGTTTTATACTCTAATAATTACCATCAACGTTAACGCCTTCATATGGATAAAGTCCTTTGTCGTACAGTTGAGACACCCATCGTAAGGCAGACTTCAGTAATCCAATTATTTCGATGGCAGCACCGTCACGTGGGGTAGACGGCACACCCAAATTACCAGCATTGGCTGATTCACCCATCTTATCCATCCATGTACCACAGTTCCATTTATTTCCACCAAAGATAAATCCAGTATCCCAGTCAACATCTATATCAATTTGAAAACCTTCATCTTTCATATAGGTATCTAAATCGGGCCCAGCGTTCCATTCTCTAAAGTGGATGCCTTTAGCATGAGATTCTAGAATCTCTTGAATTATATCTGTAATCGTGCTAGAATAGCTGTAGGCACTCGAGTGATCATATACAACAAAGTCCACATCTTCAGGAAAACGACGCTGCACACGCTCTTTAAGGAATCCTATATTATCCGGACTGAATGTACAGTAATCCTGAATAGCTTGCAAATACCACCAAACGGCATCACGGCAGTTATATCTAGGGAATCTACCCGAGTCAAGCAGGTTGGGAACCAACCCATTCTTTACTACGCTACCAAAGGCAAGAATATGTCTTTTAGCTGCTTCGTAGTTGCCAGTTGTGAGAAATAACCCTCTTAGCGAGATAAATACATCACGTCCCCATACTCTCATGTGTCTGAAAGTAAAGTGAGGGAGTCCTGCCGCCATCGATGGACCTTCCTCGACCGGATGTAGCGCGGTGGAATGGACAACTCCATACATCTGGACGGATGTTAGGGCTAGTGATTGGATGAACGGGCCGCCCTCTTGCACAAATGGAGATAATTGCTCGATGGCCCGTTTACATGCTGCATCGTACGCTGTCTTAATGACAATTGCAAAGTATTTGGGAACGAGAAAGTTGGGAATTGATTTGATTGCCGTAAAACGTTCGTCAAACCATTCGCGTAAAGACTTGAGATTAGGTGCTTGTGGAAGATGTCTGCAAGGATAATAAGTGAAAACGAATCAAAATATATCATAGTGTATAAACAGCACGACTTGATAGCTATCATAGAATACATTCAAACGAGGTACTAACCTATCCAGCCTTGCCACAACATAATTTGGTGCCCAATGACCCTCTCTCAGATTGTTACAGAACGGATGTCTCAAATCATTGTATTTTAAGATCGGCTCAGTCACGGACATAAACCCAGCAATTCCACAATAAGGTAGAACCCCATGACCCGGCACTGAGTATGCCTCGTGACCAGGTGTGACGTCTCTCTCTTCTCCCCCGCATCTATACAGTGCAACATTCAAATCAACCAAGTCCAAATATTTAAACGCTTCGTCAGCCCCCGATCTAAGAAAGTCTTCTAGGTTTTCTAGTTTATCGTCCATAGATGTCCTCAACAACGTTACACTTCCCGGTGGAAATTTGGCCGGTAAAATAAATTCAATGTATGGACCATGTACGTCAGATAGCTTCCTCACAATAGGTGAATGGAGCTTTTGAATGGTGGCCGGTAGACCGTTGAGTATTCCGTTTTCCGTGGGGGCAGTACGGGAATTGATTACTATCTGTGCTGAGAATAATTGCTCAAGTTCGGCAGAGGCGCCCCGGAGTTTGAAAGGCGGTACTGATGTAAAAAGTCTGGTTAAAAAGTATATAATTTCACGTGCGTGGGGAATAGTCAATGTAGATCATCGCGGGAATATAATACATACGATCACTTTTTGGGTCTGTGCTACCAGAGAAGGCGCATCGGGCGACTAGCAAGTAACCGTAATAAGAACGGGGGTGAACACGATGGACTATTATGTACTTTGTAGAAAGAAGAAATGGAATAAATGATTATGCAAGCGCTGATTTGATTGACATAGTGAGCATGAAAGTTTTGCTTACATCTTTCTCCTGATGCAGATATGTCTCTGAAAAGTCATCAATTGCCATCTCGGTGTGTAAATGCTGAAGAATCCTTTTAACTGTATATCATATAGAACAGTATCACGTAATTAATAATCACAGTATCTAAAATCTCCATGCATCCGATCAGATATTGAAACTCACTTTTCCCAATCCCAACCTCGACTGGATTCTCATGAATTTTATACAGTCGATTCTCAGTCGCAAGGTTAATCAGATATGGATTTATCTCATCATATCCTCTAACACTTCCCACAGCACAGGATGCCATAACGGTGAGAGCAGAATTAGGTAAAGTGTCCTCTGCGGTTCTAATCTGATGAGGAGTTTCGTTGTCGTGCGTGCAATCCATGAACAAAGCATGAGGTTTAGATCCCGTTATTGGGACGACTATGCATGAAACATTTTGTTGGCCATCGGGAGAAGTGCAGACTGATTCCTCAGAAATACAATTCGTGTCCATAGAACCTATGATGGTAAAATATACAATACGTTATATTATTAGTTACATCTTTGTTTATAACACTCTTCCCTAACTTTCCGTTTTATTAGCGCACCTATAGGTTTTCCTCCATACGCATGGATCAATCGAGCCATTTCCGGAGGATCCCATGCCTTCAAGGATTCACGGATCAAAGAGTTAATACCCAACTCTCTCACAAATCGAATATCCAGATCGCCAGACCCAGTAAACAACTCGGCAACGACATACAAGTTGGGACAGACACGACGTGCTGCATCAAGTAAATGCTTGGCAACGTGGATTGGAGTAGAGTGACAATTATCAATTCGAAAACCATGAAACATCTTTGCTAGATGTTCTGTGTATTTGGTCATGTGGTCCCATAGCCATGGATTATCATCCTACATAAAGTAATGCCAGTTTAGGATTCGAAAGTGCTATCATAGTATTCCCTTCATTATCAAGAGAAAGCCCACTAAAAATACTCACCGGACTTTTACCATAACGTAATTTGACACAATCCCCCCACACGATGACTTCTCGCCTTAAATAAGCGTTAGAGTCTGCACTTGCAAAGTCAACAAGAGGATTAGCGTTCCATATCCAGCCGTTGTTAGCCACTGCCAATTCCTCTGCGGGATGGTCACTGCCAACGTCTTCGGCTCTAAGACGGGTAAAGTATGTTTCGATAAAAGGAGATCTGCAAAAAAATCCCATACAATGAAAGTAGTTATTAATGGTTAGAGGGGAGCAGAGTGCTATTATGAACATATGGTATATGTATGGATGTCTTCCTCTCTTGGAAACTTACTTCTTGGTAATTTCTCCTAGCTTGGGTCCGTGTGCATCGAGTCGTAAATATTTCAATCTATTACGCAAATTATTCAAAATAACTCCGACATCTTTGTCGTATGTTTTGTAGAATGGTAGATTAATCTTGTTTAATATGGTCTCGTAATGCTTGAATATTTCCTCGATAGATGGTTTGATGGTGTCAAATGACGGAATAGAAAGATTCTTAATTTCCTCATTATTCTCAGTATCGTCATCGATTGCATAACCTGTGCTCCCAGACATTGCTTTTCCAACAGTAGTTGATGTGCTGATAACAGCCTCAGCGCTATTGTTTCCAGATTTTGCCTTTTCCATTGCATCCTTCTGACTAGTCTTTTCATTATTCTCACGAGCCATCGCCAAAGCCGTAAACCTAGTTTCGACGTATTTTTTTGCCTTCGTGTAATTCTCAACCTCGGCACGCGCTCTGGCTTCTTCGGCAGCTTCGGCGACCGTCTTCTTTTCAGCAACATCGGACGTACCGCTCTCGGCGTCTGTTTTTGTCTTAGCCGCAGTGCGTGCTGCTTTTAGTCGCTTTTCAGCCTCGCCTTTAGCTGTTACAATAGCTTCTAACATGGCAGCCTTCACCTTTGTGTCGCGCCATTTCTTAATAAATGCTAAAGCGGCAGATTTGCGAATTTTTCGATAACGGCGGCGTCCGAGAGATTTGGGTTCGAGCGCTTTAGATATAAGGCGAACTTGGTCACCAAGATCGAGACATGCGACATCACATTCTTTGAAGAGCGTATCGTCTGTTTCTTCGTCGTTTTCCAGTGCTTTACGTAGTTCTTCTATAGAGGTCTTTACGTCAATTGTATAGAATTCCCATAGCCGTAGTTCGGGTAGGACGTGAGTTTTGATTCCGTTTATGACGGCATCCAGGTCCTTCTCCGATTTGATGTGAGTAGGTAAATTGTAAGATTTAAGATTTTCAGAGTAGCGGAGGAGAGCCGTGTCAAGTTCATACGCGGCGCTTAGATGGGGTGAGTTATGTACATTATATGCTGTATAATATTGTCGATGAATCATCATTCTCACAAAACAAGCAGCTCCAACCATATATATGTTATTACGCGCATATGCCTTTCCTACCTGCTTCGGGATGTTCTTTCAGCCACTGACAATTATGCGCAGTATGATTCCATACCACATCAGACAAACTTAGCACTCCGTATTCATTTTCCATTTTCTTCAACATATTGGCTACAATCTCATTCTTTTCTTCAGCGCTTTTATGTTGATCTTGCTTGTCAAACAAATCGTTGGAAAACTCCAACTGATTGTAAATAGAAAACGGGGAGTCACTCTTTCCTCTCGCTTGCATAGGCACAAAATGAACCATGTTATATCCCAAGTCAGAGATGGATTTAATTAAGGGTTCCCATCGCGAGATTGGACCGAGGAGTTTAGGAAGGACGGTCTGAATAACGATACCATCAATTGGAAGCAATACGGTGGGTCCATCAGATGTCTTGTCAGGGGACAGAATACGTGGACGAGACAAGACGCGGAGAACAGGGTCGACTGAGAAGTAGCCATGAGGTGACTTTTTTGTGTTTTGAGAGTTTTCGCCTGGTTTTTGCGCAAGTATGGTGTATTCGAGATAAAATTCAAATGATCCCGATTGTTTTATTGCAATGTCAAAGTTAAGTGATCGGATGGAGTCTGTTGATGATCTAGCAGATTTAACAAAATGGCATAAAGATATTAATGCAATTGCAGAAAGCGTGTAAATATAATCCAATTCGAATGTAATATATATATAAACGACTATGATGGCATGATTAAGTGTCTTTTTTCAGTTCTAACCGCTTCATTTTAATACCATTAATCGTGATTTATCTCTTTGCAAATTTCGCCATAAAATAATCAGATTCTCTAATCTATGCTTCAATATTTTACTTACTTGATAGGGTAGAATTTCTTTTTCTCAAACTGGGATCTGTATTAATCAATATGCCAATTAATTGTCTGTGAGAATATCAGTAAAACAGAATAATACCAATTCGTGATATACCCATCAATCGGATAATTCGTGTAGAATGTGGTATTATGAGAAGCTGCTGATCCAGACTTAAGATTGAGTCGAAGGATGTATGGTTTCTCAGGTGGAGGGAGTCTGATATACTGATATTGCCAATCGCACGAATAAATGAAAAATTGTCGATTGGGGGTTTATCATTTGCGGGTCGGATCAAGATACATGATACGCATAATACTGGGCAAATGAAGTTGTATGAATACCTTATCATGGCCGAGTGATCCATCGTCTTCAAGCTTGAATTTATATACAACTACCCTGCCTTCCACTTGCTTAACTGACTCATGATATCTAAAAGCAAACTGTTTCAGATCAAGGAATGTAGTAGCGTCCAATAATGGTATCCGTCGCAGTCCTTGCGGTGAGACATAAACCATAGTTGTAGATACTTGTTCCAAATGATGATGGATAGAAAGAGGTCAAAGGGACATTTTTACGTTCAGGCATTTAAATATGGTGTATATGCTGAACGCCACATATTCCTCCACTAATTACCTTTCTTCGAGGTCTTTATTTAGGCGCACATGGGTGACCCCTTAACCTTTCTGTTTGATATTAGTTGAAAAGGGACCCAATAATTTTACAGTGTTACTATTATTATGACAATAATGCAGCTTGCAAGCCAAAAGTAAAAACTTTGATTGTGCGACAAATCAACAACTTTTTTGTAAAACGCGGAATGTCATTAACGCCACAGGAGAGATGCGTCATGTGACATTAATACTATTAATATTAAAAGTTTCGCGTTTTAAGCTCGTACTGTTTGTGGCAGAATTACTCATTTGTAATGTGTATTTTTACCACAGTACTATGTGATTAAATCATTTAATTTAATCAAGATAATCAGGAAATTATCAAAGCATTGTCAGACGTCTAGGCGTAATCGGACGGATTTGCCTTGGAAAAGTTGTATACTCGTTGTCAAAGCTTCAGAACCGTTTTCGTAGACAGTAGCTTCAAGATTCGCATATTGATCCATCACGACGGGTTTGGATAAAATCTCAACCTATTGAAGATAAGCTTAAGCTTTACACGGATGTTCGTGTAGGAAAAGATGTTAATGAGCGTGAGGACAAGAGACTTCAAAGATCATGCGTATGGGGTGAACGCAAATTCGTGCGAACTGTCGTGCGTATCGGAATGCTGCTTCAAGGTACACATGGCAAAGCGCCTGCAAACATTATCGATGAGGCGATTGATTAGCTGCTGCTAGGTATGATTGTTATTTTTGTTTTGATTTATTTATTTATTTATTCATTTATTCATTTATTTTTAACTAATTTTAGGATCAACCACAAATCAGCAAAGAAGTTCTGTATCACCCATCTCCATAATCCATCAATGCTTTCTGCACCCTGCCATAAGCCTGTTGTCATTCTGAACGAAAAACGCGATTTGTGGCCGCTTCATTTCGAAAAAAAGAAAAAAAGAAAAAAAAAAGCGTAATAATAAGTGGCCTGTTCCTCACAGAATAACGTCCGATTGTAAGCTTACGTATATTCGCAAAACTAATGAATGGAAATTTTCATGGGTTTACGAGACGCAAAAACAACTCCGCGAAACCCAAGCAGGTATTTCTGTTCATGCAGTTTCCATCGACCCTGGCGTTCTCCTAAAAATTGGCCAATACCGACATTGGACGAATTATTTGTCTATGGATAATCTTCACTCGCAAATATTCGATGCCTTTATCATCTCTCCTTTTGAGTGTCGAACATGGTAAATCGAAAAACAAGAAAGATCACACGAAAAACCGTTCGCAAAATGCTCTGCTGGGGCCACTATCAATTTCGCCAACGCCTGGTGGCTAAAGCAGAAGAATTAGGGGTCAGTATTATTATCCAAACGAGGCCTATACTTCAAAAACTTGCAGCTGGTGTGGGAATTGTGGAACTGTAATGAAAATGGCGCTCCCTCCGGGCATTGCTTGATGGAGCCTTGATTCTCTCCGGAGAAATAGTAGTAATGACTACAATTGATATGTTACAATCTATCAAGATTCTCAAGTATCCGTCTCTTTACAGTTAAAAGAATATTAGTAGTTAATTCATTTTTTCTGAAAATAACCTAGTTATAGTTAGTGTTGTGCGATCTAAATCACATGATATATAATCTCATGACGATCGTGTGCCCTAAATAAAATTTACTAGAGCAAGGAAAGATTTTCAATCCTGCCGCAATGACCGAATTCCCACCTATTGATTTCTCCACCACCACAACCACCAGTCTCGTTGATGACTCTACGAGTGACTTTCTTGCTAGAGAGCAGGCTATTCTGGGTGAGGATGCTGCACGGTTCGGTGGAATCAATGGGTCTGCAAACGAACTTGAGCGATTCCCTGATCTCAGTACTGGAGATGTTGACCCAACAACATTGAATGTGACGCCAAGCATTGGTATTGGATTGGGGCTTGGTAATGAGTTTCCACCAGTCTCTGCAATAAGTGACATTACGGTTAGTTGAGGAGAAAGATTTGAACGGTTGAGCAGTACGATCGTCAAGATCCATTAAAACTGCATCAACAATATACATTATGTAATGTATACTATATTTTCTGCGTGGGTGATTTAGCTGAGATCACGTATATTGTTTACAGTCTACGTATTCAGAAGCGACTGTTGGGACTACTTCTTTCTACCAGCAACAACAAGAAGAAGAAGAATTGGAAGAAGCGACCGAGGTTTTAAAGTTAGTTTACCCAACTTCTTTAAAAGTTGGGCGACGTATAATTTTGCAAGTTTTATTATTTTCATTGTTCTAATCGTTTTGACATTCATAGTGAATGGCGAGAGCGTGCTCAGCAAACAATCGATGAACGCGAAGAGCGTAATAGGGAAAAGCATGAGAAGACAATCGAGCAAGCACATGCTGACATAGATCGATTCTATGAAGACTACAATGCCAAAAAAATCAATATACTAAAACAGAACGAGTAATTAACTATTCAACGCGATTTTTGTGAGTTTCGCTCTTTACAATTGCATTCTTTAACAAGCTGGCCTATCGCTTATTTAGAATCGATGAAGCGGAATTCCTAGCAGAACGCGAAAGACTTGCGTCCGGCACTACATGGGAGCGAGTATGTAAAATTCTTGGGCTGACCAGTGCGCAGAGCAAAACCCCATTCATAAATCAAAAGGATGTTACAAGGTTTAAGGAGTTGCTGCTAAGTCTAAAGAGTGACGAGAATGCACCAGGGGCTGCTGGATATTGAAGCAAAGCAAAGAGAGGAAAAGTATAACGACAATCATAATGTTGAATGATAATGGGAAGTAGAGATAGAGAGGAGGTTGCTGTATCAATGGCTACTTTCTGGTTGATAGACCCGGTATTTATAATCTTTCGAAGATTATTCGTGGATTAAAAAAAATAAATAAAGGTGTTTAGAATCCTACATGTCACATGCGTCAACCTTAATATGAACATTGCCAACATTAAGCACTGCACGAAAATTTACTGAACTCTATACAATAACAGGATATGTTTATTTGCACTTTCAATTAGTTCTATACAATCCAATAATAATAATTACTATTACAAAATAAGTGTCTTTAAAAACACTCGATTGAGTGTTTCGTTACAGTTCTTATGGTGCATTTTAGTCATTAAAATAGTATACCGTCTATAACAATAAACTACACAGACTAAATTTACAACATTGTATTATATAACAGAAAAGTCCATATAATATTCTTTCAAATAGTCCGTATTGTTCACCATTTTCCTTTCGACCACTCCTCACATCGCGCTATTCAACTTCAATGCCTCAGTCTGTACCGAAGCGTTAGTTCTGCACATGGGGCATCGGAAATCCAGGCTCGACGAATCTAATAAATATCCCTCCACTAGTAGATTCGTCCTCAAACATGATGCGTGGAATTGGTGATGACATTGCGGTAATGTTACAGTCGAAGTACATGCATCAGTGTCCGTTTCGCCACAGCAACCAATGCTTGCAAACGCACAGCTCGTAGAGTCAGAATGAGACTGATTGGAGTGTGCGTAACATTGGTCAGAGATCGATGAAGTAGTAGAATTGTTGATATGATCATGACCATTGATGTTGTTATTGTTATTGTTAATGTCGTTGTCATTGTTATCATTGCTGTTATTATTAGCCTCTCTTTGTAACCGAGCTTTCTCTTCCTCCTCAGATTCAATCCCCTTCCTACACATAGGACACGAATTATTCACCCTTAGCCATTCAAATACACATCCTTCGCAGTACATATGCGAGCATGGTAGCTGTCTTACTACCGATTCGACCGTAAACTGGTCAAGACATATCGGACACGTAGCGTGAGACTTGATATGTTCATCAATTATTTTCACAATCGGGAGTGCTTTCATTGCACTTTCTGATGCCCGCGGTTTTTGTGGTTGTTCCATTGGGAATAAAGGTTGAGTGAATATTATTATTGGTGTTGGCAGGTTATCATCAGTATTTGCACCGGGTACTGTATAGACCATAAATTGTATGAATGGCGAAGTTGGTGCCGCTCCAGCCTGGGGAGGGGTGTTTGGCAAAGGCAATTGCGGTATTTGGAATTGAGCATTCTGTCCATCCGCTTGATTTTGTGGACTTGGAGGTTGTCCTTCGAACGCTGGGAGAGGGAAAGGTGGGATGAAGAATGGGATGAAGGTGAAGCTTGGTTGCTGTTGTGGTTGTTGTGGCTGTTGTGGTTGTTGTGGTTGTTGTGGTTGTTGTGGTTGTTGTGGTTGTTGTGGTTGTTGTGGTTGTGGTTGTTGTTGTTGTTGCTCCATTATCGTTTGATTATTATGATCAAGTTATAAGTTACGTAAGTTATGTGTAAACGTGTAAAAGATGAAACGATTCAAGAAGAACACGCCTTCAATTTATAACCCTTAGTTGGCATCACTAGTAATTTCTGGAAATTTCCACAAATTTCCACAATTAGGGGTTCCCCCACAATTAGTGCACAGAACCGAAAACCCGAACGTGCAGGTGACACGAACATCAAATTGGCGATTAAATGAGTTTACCCGATCGCCGTATTGTATATCCTGTATTCGGGCGTAACAATAATTATAGCTCACCCTTTACAAGTATGTCGACCCACGTGACAATACTCATACGTAACAGATTCTAAAAAAGTATTATATAGGATCTGTCATTAGAACATTTTATTAGAATCATACGATCAGAATAAGAATGTCATTAGAATTATACAGTCGCAAAGACATGCCATTAGATCATACGATTAAGCATTAATCATGCCATTGAAAGATTTGCAACATCAGATAAAAAAAAGTAAGTCGATTCTCTATGACAAGCTAGTCTGCAATATTATTATTAACTAGTGTCTTTAATCACGTGTTCTCGACAAGTCAGATTGACGATCTGGGCAGAGTTTCTTGTGTTTCTTGTTTACGTCATTGACTCTTTATGCCATTGATAATTCTGCGATATAAATATATTTGAATGGCCGCGGAAAAAAATCCACCCGTCTGTAGAAAATATATTAATATTGGTAATGGTAACACAGAATGATGTCGAGGGCAGGCTTTTGCTGAGGCTGAGAACTATTAGCTAGCTTCTGACATCATATGAATAATGAGGATGTAAGTAAGATACAGTCAAAGCTCGATATAGTGAAGTCAGCGGGACGGGCATTTTTCTTCACTATTACTATATCGAAAATTCACTGTATCGAAATCTTTCAATATAGTAAAGTTTATACTAATGCCGTTTTTGTACCAGAGAAATTCTTCACTATAGTGCGATCTTCACTATATCGAGGCTTCACTATATCGAGCTTTGACCGTACAAACAAAATGTCGCTCTGCATAGCAAGACATATTAACAAACGAGTGACATTTAAGCGTGTTCTTTCGAATTACTTATACGTGAAGAGCGCGACAGTATACTCGATTAATCAAAGCGCTAAATCGAAGAGTCGCCTCACACTTAACAATCCAATTCTTTGTCCTTAATTTGGACAATATATCAAGGAGTAGTTCGTATCTTCAGCAAAGGCTTTGAATTGTGGCTATATACAACATAGTGCAATAGGCTATTGACAATATAATATGGAGACTATGTTAACTCTGTTAATATGGGAGCATGGAGATCGAGTTGCTCATCACTTTGTCAGTTGTTGACTGTAATCATTTGTTTTGCTGACTATAAATATCAATATTAATATTAGCAATTGAATTAAATGGATAGAATTCCCTCGCACGTTGTTTTTAATGAATTTACGTACACTTGTAATCGACTTGAAAATGATTACAGTCATTATTAATACACGTAAGCGACTCTTCTCTTCGTATGTTTTGCTATCCAGAATATACATTACACATGCTAGTATTCAAAGATTTTCTCAGTAAAACGTAGACTTACCAACGTGACGTATCAACGTGTTCATTTTTGAAAATTGATGGAAGAATGTATTCATATTAACAAACTAATCGGCAAGCATCAAGAAGACAAACTAAGGTGAATATTTGCTATTCACAAATTATTATAATTGACGCCATCGTTACTTTCTGCTTCATTCGAACTATACTGATAACTTGGACATAAGGAGAAGATAGTAAACCTATTTAAAAAATAAATCGTAGAAGTTTACCGAAATGTGATCGAAATATGCCCGAAAGGAAAGGCTTTTCTCGAGTTAAATAAAAGGAGCGCGATTGTCAACTAAAAGCTCAACTGGTTCAGTCGGCATATCTACGAAAATTCAGAAAGTTGCCAGAACAAAGCCTTGGAAGATTATAGTCAGCGAAACAATAACTATGTAGTAGAGAAACGGATTTGTCATGTTGTTATTTCCTCATCAACACGGCACAGATCGTTTGAATAATTATTGAATCGTACTTTTTATAATCGTTAAATACAAACAACCTGGTAAATCAAGAATATTATTGACCTTTTGGTAACTATAGAAGAGTCAGAATGAGACTGATTGGAGTGTGCGTAACATTGGTCAGAGATCGATGAAGTAGTAGAATTGTTGATATGAT